TTATTTGGAGTTAGGAATTATTGCTATGTTTAAAAACACAATCTAAACGATCATCTTAATTACTTGTAATGCCCAAATCGACAATGTAAAAAAAAATATTATTTTCCCATAAATAATTAAAAATGCATCGAACCTTAAAAATCGAAATATCTCAAAAACTGCTAACTATAACGAAAACTCACAGGAGAGATTTTTTATGCAGAAAAGTGCGAAGAATCAGTTTTTTATTCAAAAAGCAAAACATTGCACTAAGAAAAAATTTTCGGTCCTTTTAATACACTACAGGTACAGTAGAGAGCGCCCTCTAGCGGCTACAGTAAAACTATGCCTATGGTTCGTTTTGTCGTACCAAAAAACCCTTGTATACCAATTTTCACTGTTATACATCAAATATTGTTCGAAATATTAAAAAAAAACTATTTTAAAAAGTAAATTTAAACACCTTGTATTTCGGAAGCCACGCATTTTTCGACACATGTTTATATAGACTTTATGCATTAATTTCAAAAGTTCTATCGAATCTTAAAGTTATGCAACAATAAACTGAAACACCCTGTATGTGTCTATGCAAAACTGGTTTTCAGGTTCCGGAACATGGACATTTGAGTCTAAAGAATAAAAAAAATATTTTAAAAGAAACTGAAAACGAAAGCTACTTCATTGCTTGGAACAGCAACTATTTTACTGTGTGTGGTATTTTTTCATTATTTACTTCCCACGTCACTAGCGAAAAAATATTATAATTGCAAAAAAGGACCAGGCGCAAAGCTTATGGAAAATGGATCGCAATCGATTTGTCTAAAAATTCCGTACGATATATTTCTTGCCTTTCCGAACAGAAGTGTATATGAAACCAAAGCAATCCTATGATTAGATTCTGAGAAATAGACGGATAAGGTTTGTGTGATTTGCAAAAATGGTGTATGTGTATATAGTAGTTCTTCCACCAAAACCTTTGAGAATCGGTATACTAGAAATATTTCATCAGAACACCCTGTAAGAAGGTGTTGGAAGGTGTCACGTTGATCGTGACCATGATCCTTACAAGGCAGTTTCAAGTCAAGTTGGTTTTCATGTGTTGATGCTGAAATAGATCTGGCACGACTTGCTCAACAATTCAGAAAACTCAAGGGCGCAGAACAGCCGTAGTTGTTTCCTTGTCCTTGATTATGGCCTTTACAAGGTCAAATTAAGGTCATGTTATTTTTGACGGTGGAAGGGAAAGAAAAAGTGTACTAATGAGAACTTGTATCGTTTGTAATTTGTTTGGGGAAAAGGCATAAACTGCGCAGTGGAAAAGTCACCTGCCCTTCTAGTTTTGTGATTTCTCCAGCCTAAACATAAGATGAAACTGATCCTGTGAGAATCATGGTCGCGATCAACATGTCACTTCCCAACACCTTCCTGCAAGATGTTTTAATGAAATAGATTCTGAGGAATAGACGGATGAAGTTTGTCTGATTTGCAAAAATGGTGAATGTGTCTATTGTAGTTCTTCCACTAAAACCTTGGAGAATCGGTGTACTAGAAATATTTCATCAGAACACCCTGTAAGATGGTGTTGGAAGGTGTCACGTTGATCGTGACCATGATCCTTACAAGGCAGTTTCAAGTCAAGTTGGTTTTCATGTGTTGATGCTGAAATAGATCTGGCACGACTTGCTCAAGAATTCAGAAAGCTAAATGGCGCAGAACAGTCGTAGTTGTTTCCTTGTCCTTGATTATGGCCTTTACACGGTCATGTTGTTTTTGACGGTGGAAGGGAAAGAAAAAGTGCACTCATGAGAACTTGTATCCTTTGTAATGGAAACATTTTGTTTGGGGAAAAGACATAAACTGCGTCCTGGAAAAGCCACCTGCCCTTCAAGTTTTGTGATTTCTCCAGCCTCAACATAAAATGAAACTGATTCTGTGGGAATCATGGTCTCAATCAACATGACACTTCCCATCACCTTCCTGCAAGGTGTTTTAATGAAATATTTCTATTAGTATACTCATTCAACGATTTTTTGATCTAAGAACACAATCGGCACATTCACCATTTTTGCAAAAGCATCCAAACTTTAACCGCCTATTTCTCAGAAACCAATCATCGGATTGATATGGTCCCATAGACACTTTTGTTCGGGAAGGCAAGAAATATATCATACTGAATGTTTAGACAAATCGACCGGGACCCATTTTCCGTATGTTTTGTGCGTGGTCCTTTAGAAGATGGAAATTTTTCTCAATTAGGCATTGTCAAGATGAAGGTTTTTGTATGTTATAATAATAATAAAAGCGTTTATTTGCAGAGCAAAAAAAATACAAAGAGAAAAAATTAAAAATGAAGAGACAACATGAATTCCCTGCAAAAGGGGCTAGTAAACAGAGCTGATTAAAGTACTAGCCCAACAAACAAAATTACAACATAGTTCTTAACCAAATTAATATTAATAATCAATAAATAATAATTACAAACGTCAAAAAAATATATGTATATAAAGAAATTATATGAAAAATATAATTTAACGAAAAATGTCAAATCATTTTAGGCAGATTTAACAAAAAAAAAAACATTTATAATTTAAAGAGGAAAGGAAAAATATAAACACTACCATTCGTCTAATAGAAATTTTCTGTAACTTCTTTTAAAAGCTGGCACAGACATAGACTTAAGGTTTGTGATGACGTGATTATACAAGTGGCAGATAAAATGAAAAAGACATCTGTTAAACATAGATGTACGATGACGTGGGTGGGAAATCAGCTTCCGATACCGAACATTGATATTGTGAACATCACTTCGAAATGTAATCTTATTATATAAATAAGGCGGAGATTGATATAGAATAATTTTATGAAACAAAACTGCCTAGTCCAGATTTCTTCCAGCTTCCATATTTAGCCATCCTAAGACAGGTAACTTATAAGAAATATGTTCAAATTTTTTCAATCCAAAAATAAACCTAAGACAAGAGTTTTGGACACGCTGTATACGATCAACATCATACCTTGTTATACAAGGCCCATAAACTGAGTCGCAGTAATTGAATAATGACAGATCAAGCGTGTCACAAAGCAAAGCCTTAAGTCCGGTAGACAAGATATGACGATGTGGAAATAACATTTTAAGCCGATCATAAGCACATCCAATGCGCTAATCAACATGCTTTGAAAACCTTAGGTCACTATCCATAATCAAGACTAAATTCCTAGTAGCGGATGTATACTAAGTGACATATAAATCCGAACACCCAGTTTAAATGGTTTTATTTTAATAAAAGTTGGTGAATCTATTTATCTTACTGTAAATAACAAGTGAAAAAATTTTCAGCCTTATCAGTTGGACATTCCGGTTTTTATACTGCTTTTTTTTTAATTCACTAACGCTCTAAAAATGAATATTTCAGCCGCAGTAAAGAATCAACGTTGGCGGATTTTGGTTCTTGACATCCTTTACGATCGGTTACGATGCCTAGAGTATGGAGACCTGTACGATTTCGTCAACTTAGTGAGTTTGATAGGGGCCGTATAGTGGGACTTCGGGAAGCTGGACTTTCTTTTCGGGGAATTGCAGTTAGAGTGCAAAGAAGTGTAGACACTGTGGTTAGGTGTTGTCAGGCATGGCTTCGAGAAGGCCGTACGCAAAGAGCAAGGGGCACTGGACGCCGCCGTAGAACAACAGACCGTGAAGATCGCCGCCTAAGATTATTGGCCTTAAGGGACCGTTTCTCCACTACCAGGTCCATTGCAAATGAATGGTTTGCAGAACACGGAAGACCTATTGGCATGCGAAGTGTTTACCGACAAATGAGAAGTTTTGGCTTGTTTTCATACCGACCAGACTGGGTCCTCCCTTTAACTCGAGAACACCGATGTAATAGCCTTGAGTGGTGCAGACAACGGTCACTCTGGGATCAGGAATGGAACAGTATTGTCTTTAGTGACGAGTCTCAATTTTGTTTAGGCATGCACGATGGTCGTGCCAGGGTTACAAGGCGACGTGGTGAAAGGAGGAATCCACAGTTTTTTGTTGAAAGACATGTTCATCACACTGTTGGAGTTATGGTTTGGGGTGCTATAGCTTATGGTTCCAGGTCACCTTTAATCTTCATCAGAGGTAACATGAACGCGCAGCGTTATATCCACGAAGTTCTAGAACCCCATCTTTTACCCTATCTTGACACCCTGGCAGATCCGACTTTCCAACAAGATAATGCCCGACCACATGTTGCAAGAGTCACAAAAGACTTCTTTCAACATAATGATGTAACATTGTTACCATGGCCACCAAGATCTCCCGACTTATCCCCAATTGAGCACGTGTGGGATGTGATGGGTAGGAGATTGCTCAATTTGCAACGTCCTCCTCAGACTCTAGAAGCACTTCAAGAGGAGTTGGTGGTTGCCTGGAATGAGATACCACAGGAGGACATTGACCACCTGATCAGAAGCATTCCTAGGCGCGTTGGAGAATGCATAGCACATCAGGGTGCATCCACACATTATTAAAGGTCAAAGGGCTTTAAAGCAGTGCAATCATTTTGAAATTTTTATCATTTACTTATTATGCTTCATTAAGTACTTATACAAAATTTTATTAAAATAAAACCATTTAAACTGGGTGTTCGGATTTATATGTCACTTAGTATATGAGGAATAATATTATTATTAATTGAAATATGGAATGAATCTGCCACGCTCTTTTTGTGTTTCCCGAACAATAAAACATTTGACTTGGTTGGATTTACAGATAACTGATGAGCTATGCTTTCATTGGTCAAATTACTAAGATCTTCATTTAATAATATAACCGCAGTTGTTGTATCTGTATGAGAGAACGAAAATTTTATTTGGGTATCATCAACAAATAAACAAGGCTTTGAATATATGAAACTACTAGTAATATTTGCAAAGTATACTGAAAAAAGTAATGGACCCAAGACAGAACCTTGAGGTACTGCTTAATTATGTATCAGCCCCAAAAATATCTAAAGTACGTTTTATTTATTTTTCAGATGTGGGCCCGCTTCAGTAGTAGCAGTAAAAATGGCAGAGATACTCAAACCATATGACGGAAATTTCTTGTTCGCAGAAGTCAATGCCGATAAGGTAGATACGAGTACAAATAATATTGGATAATATGACATTTGAAATGTATCGTGTACTTTACACGTCGATGATCACCCATGCTTCTATGGCCAATGAAATTACATGTATTGACCGAATCTTCTTCACTGTGATCTTCAGTACAATGACAATACAGAGTGTTTTCAAAGTTGAATCATTTATATATATATATAAAAGTTGTATAACAAAAGAAATAGTAAGGATTACACATTTAAGAAAATAAGAATGTTATTACACGGATTTTTTGATATTCTCGACCACTGCCGTTTAAAATCTTAGTTTTTGTTTACTACCCAACAATGGGTACTGGAACCATAGCAGCTCATGATAAAGTTCCAATATTATCCTTATCGTTATCAACGGGTACAAACATTACAACCTGAAGATCATCCTAGAAGACTTGCACTTTGCAAGTGGCTTTTAGAACATTTCGGTAGGAATGAAGCTTTTACGAAATTAATTTTGTTTACAGACGAGTCCACATTTACGCGAAATGGAGTGCACAATTTCCACAACAATCATATTTGGGCAGTATAAAATCCGCATTCTGTAAAAAGAACTCATTTTGAACTTAGATTTTCATCAAATGTTTGGGCTGACGTGATAAATGGCATGCTTATTGGACCCTACTTTTTTCCATCTCGACTGACCGGTGAAATTTATTTAGATTTTCTTCAATCTGCTACAATTACTAAAAGATGTTCCTCTAGGTCAGCAAAATTTTGCATTAATCGAACAAATGGGGACAATTTTGAACAGTTTTTGTAAAAACGATATCCATTTAACTTGATAATGATTTTTCTGGATAATTGTTAACAATGTAAACTAACTCTCTTGTTATGCAACCTTTATACAGGGTGTCCGCAAAGTGGGGGTTTTCCTTTACACGACGTGTAGATCTTGAAAACATAAGCAATTTTTCTTAGTACCATATACACCAATGTCTTAAGGGAACCGAGATAAAGGGCTCTGCAACATCAAAAATATCTGAATACCGTCCTGTAGCCGCGACCCGCGACATCCCCGAGTGGTACTAGGACACTAGCTCAACCCGACGACAGAACTGGGTCGGGGCCAGTGTGTCAGGTCAGTATGCAACCTTCAACCGACGGTTACGGTCACGCGTGAAGAGGTAAACGAACCCGTATAATCGATTGCGTTTCAAAAAACAACAAGCACTAGAGACATGGCTAGAGAAGTGCAAGTATCAAAAACTAAAGTGTGGCAAACGCTGCGTGAAGAGGGGCTGTATCCGTTTCACGTCCAACGTGTACAAGCCCTTCAACCTGAAGATTTTCCAGCAAGAGTGCGGTTTTGCGAGTGGTTGTTGCATCAATATGACAATAATCCGGACTTTTTGAAGTGCATATTGGTGACAGACGAATCTACGTTCACGCGTAATGGGGTGAATAATTTTCGCAACACTCATGTTTGGTCAGTAGAAAATCCGCACGCTGTCCGTCGGGCACATTTTCAACAAACATTTTCGGCTGGCATGGTGAACGGTATGCTCATTGGACCATTTATTCTCCCAAATCCATTGGACGGGATGCAATACCTAGACTTTTTACTTAACATTTTGCTTTCCTTGTTTGCCTGCGTCTGCTCGGTAGCGTATCAGCTGATTTCATTTTCTGTTGGAGCGGTATGCTTTCGGGCAGAGACGTACTTAGCCCTTCTCGTCAACTGGAGAGTGAGTACTTTTTCCTTTATTTTTTTTTACTTGGTCGCCCTCGTTTCACTACACATTACCTTTGTTATTTCAAGGGTAGTTGTTTCTGAAAAGGAAAACCCCAACTTTGCGGACACCCTGTATAGTTGATATTTGGTATTTTGAAAACGAAAGCACACTGTATATTTTATTTACGTATTTCAGGTAACAGTTCGATTGTTTTTCTTTCCATTGCATGTTTCGTTTTTCAGATATTCTGGAAGTATTCTGGACCAACACAACCGTTGAAACTGCTTCGAAAAGACATACATGGAATAGGAAAAATGATATGTACGAAATCGCCAACCTCCTTCGAAAGAGAAGATATAACTTATACATACAAGCATCCAGAGAAGACAGTTGAAGAGAGAACGACGATGCTCAGAGCTCTACAACAAACCAGAAACTTGTTTTCCAGGTAACGTAATGAGATCAATTGAAATCTTTCTTGAAAAGCTAGATAAAATAGTCCAGTGGCGTTTTTGCGAGATTTGAACTAAGTAGTTTTAAAGAAAAATCGGCTTTCTCTTAAGAAAAAAGGGTGACTATACTTTAGCGCATATCGCAAATACTTCATTTCTTACTTTAAAATGAAAGATTAGGATGTAACTTTTACTTACTTTCCTTAAGGAACCGTCTGCTTGCTATTATTTAGAACTTCGAAGTTGCATTTTTGCTGGTAATACTCTAGAATAGAATACTGTTTTATGTGCTGTCTTTTTTTGCTTTTTGTACAAATTAGAAGAATATAACATACACTGTATTGCACTGTTCTTTGTTGTTTTCATTATTTAGTGATTTGCAACAGGTACTTTTACAGTTATTCATCACATTTAATTAGGTACGTTTTGTAACATCAGCATCACTTTAAATAATTCTTCAAGTACATACACCTACATACAAAAAGTAAATAGATTATAACTATTATATAGGAAACACAATAAGCGAAATACTTTTGTGAAGGGCATAAGGCATTCTTCAAAAAAGTTTTTTTAGCTAACGCTATCGTAGGGCACTAGATGGATTTAATACAGTAAAAACTGCCGGCCACACCTTCAAATCACATTTTCATGACAACCCTGTGCCGATTGCACATTTTTGCGCTAGTATATATAATGGGTGGGCCATTTAAAAGTTTCGATTTAAAAATAAAATAAAACAAAAACGGTTTGAGATATTGCCAAATTTATTTTTTTGTTTTGAAGTACAATTGTTCCGCTCAGAAATGAAATATTACTTCATTCAAATGGCTGCCGCGGCTGGCCTCACAGTAGCCCATTCGATCGGACCAATTTTCGAGCACTTTTTCGAGTGTTTGGGGCCGTATCTCGTCAATGGCATCACGAATGTTGGCCTTCAAATGGTCAATTGTCTCTGGATGGTCGACATAACACTTGTCTTAAACAGCGCCCCACAGGAAATAGTCCAATGGTGTCAAATCGCAGCTTCTTGGCGGCCAATTGACATCACCATTTCGACTGATTAAACGGCCATCGAAGGTTTCGCGCAATAAGTTGATTGTGGCATGCGATGTGTGACAAGTTGCACCATCCTGCTGAAACCAAACATTCTCCACATCAATACCATCAAGAGCAGGAACAAAAAAATCAGTTATCATGGTGCGATAGGTGTTTCCATTGACAGAAACGGTTGCGCCGTCCCCGTCTTCAAAGAAATATGGGCCAATGATGCCTCCGCTCCACAATCCACACCAAACAGTCACTCGCAAGGGATGCATTGGCTTCTCTAAGACCTCGTGTGGGTTTTCCGAGCCCCAGATACGGCAATTTTGCTTATTGACGTAGCCACCAATATGAAAATGAGCTTCGTCTGAAAAGATTATTTTTTTCGCAAAATCGACATCATTGATTAGTTGCTCGTTGGCCCATGTAGCGAAGGCAGAACGAAGTGGATGGTCACGCGGCTTCAACTCTTGAACCAATTGAACTTTGTAAGGCGTCATACCGAGATCTTTCCGCAAAATTCGTCGTAAACTGGTGCGGGAAATGTTCAATTCTTGGGAACGATGACGTGTTGACGTTGATGGATTTTCACGCACACTCGCAGCCACAGCATCGATACCTTCGGGTGTACGCACTGTACGAGCACGCTGACGTGTTGGAGCATCAACAATGAAACCAGTTTCACGCACTTTATTAATAAACTTGCGTATACCGGGCGCTGTTGGTGCTTCGTTGCGACCGAATTTTGAACGGCATTTTCGTGCAATTTCTGCCCAATTGTCTTTGTTTTGGAAATAAATTTCCAATATTACCCAACGTTGCTCAAGCGTAAATCGATTCATTTCGTTCAGCGGAGATAATATACTGAATTTTATGACAAATCAGATTGACATAAGTATTGTCAGCGTCAAATTAACACGTGGTTCAAATCGAAACCGATAGATGGCCCACCCTTTATATAAGTAAGAATTTGACAAACCAAATTAAGGTATATTACTATCCATGACTTGGCAACATCGCAACTAGATGGAGAGAATATGACAGTGACGGTGGTGTAGTGATGGGAATAATTATCTGAAATAAAAGAAATGAGTACTTAACAATGAACTATTTTCATCATTAAAATTGCATTATTGCGATGAAGAGTATCCAGGAACTTACAGTGTATGTTATATTCATATAATTTTGAACAGTCTTTTGTATAAACAAGAAGAAAACAGCTTATAAAGCAGTATTCTATACTACAGTATTAGCACCTAAAATGCAACTTTGAAGTTCTATAAAATAGCAAGCAGAGGATTCCTTCAAGAAAAAATGATATTTTCGTGCAAGTTAGATCCTAATCTTTCTTTTTAAAATAAGAAATTAAACATTTGCGATGTGCGCTAAAGTATAGTTGAGCCCAAAAAAGTACTATTATGATACTTATCCTTCTGAGCTGATCTCTGATGTTCTTTCCACGGGCTTATGGATTTCTTGTGAAAAGAAAAAATGAGTATGAAAGGTTATGTTGCACTTATGTTTTCTGTCTGATCGTATCAAATTCCACATTACAGCCATACAGGTACGATCATGCAGAGAAATGTTTCTTATTTCTTACGCGTAAACAGAAAGTCAGTAGATAGAAAATTAAGAGATCAAATTTCCTCGTAAATGCTAATCATAAAGCAGATTTTAACATTATCATATTTTTAACCTAACTCAAATCCACACGGCAATTAAACATTGAAGGCGTTTAGGTAACATGTTCATATGACTTTTTGGTGCTGTTGCGTCTTGTAGAACTTCCGATTTCACTATTTTTTCTCTTAAAACTATTAGAGGGTAGTCTGATAGATTATTTAGAAACAAAAAAAGTGTGGATGAAGCACGCTTTTCATGAAAAAATTTTCCCAAAACATTGTATTTTTAGCTGTTCTTTCCATCATTATTTCCACCGCCATCTATCTGCCATATGACGTAGACGTCTGTGCGTATGTCATATATGAGAGGCGCTTGTCTGCGGTGTTGCCGGATTGGGCTCCGCTTTAGGGAAAAATATGAAAAGTTGAAAAAATATATTAATTAATGAATCACAAAAACTAAAAATTGAAACAAATAACAGTAGCAAAATAAAAGGCGATTCCTAATGAGCATAAATCAAAAAATAACATTAGTAAACTAAAAAATGATAAATTATAAATAATTCTAAAAAACAAAAATAAAAACAGTAGTAAAAGAAAAACTAATTCCATGTAATTATAAAAATCAAAAAATAACAAACGGCATTAAAATAAAAAATAGTAAAACAAAAAAAACAATTCCATGTTGAATAAAAAGCTAATTCTAAGTCACAACACAAAACAAAAAGTATTTTTCATTTTTTTTATAATTAAATGGAATTGTTTTTTGTTTTACTACTGTTTTAATTTTTTGTTTTTTTATAATCACTTAGACTTGTTTTTTATTTTACTGCTGTTTATTATTTTTTGTTTTATACTTAGTAAGAACCACTTTTAATTTTACTACTGTTGTCTGTTTCAGTTTTTGGTATTTGTGTTTCATTAATATAAATGAATATAAATTTTCCACTTTTCATTTTTTCCCTAAATACGGAGCGCAATCCGGCAACACCGCAGGCAAGCGCCTCTAATAATGACTTCGAAGTTGAGTCATTTATTTTAACAGTGAGTAGATCTGATCAAAAGAAATGTTTTTTCCTTTACCATTTTTCTGGTAAAATTAAAGTAACAAAGTTATAGCCCTTTGGAAGTTTGAGTACCGCCCTGTCTCAATAATAATATTATGTGCTCGTGTTTGGCAACAACGGATATAATCCACCTTATCGGTTCATCGCATCGGAAACAAAAAAGCGAAAGAATTTGGAACGATGTTTTTACAATTATTTTATTCAGTTGTATACAGTCAGTGTAAGTCGGAAACGCGTGAGTGAATAGTGGTGTCTGTTGCGTGGCTCAAACGAAATCAAAAATGGCACATGTTTACGAAAATGCTGAACTTGTGGACATGATTCTTATTTACGCGGCATCACGAATTTATGCGGATCGGTTTCCCAATCGAGTGCAACCAACCCCTCGTGCCTTTGTTAATGTAGTACAAAAGGCTCGTGAATCAGGTGACTTAAGACCTCACAGGGGACGGCATGCCGGTGCTCCAAGACAGCACGATCAAATACAGGTCCGCACTGAAATACTTGTCTGGAGGATACTTTATAAAACAAGGTAACATTTTTTTTAATTTTATTTTTATTTTTACACACATATTTTGGTTTATCTTCCTTCTACAATCATTATCTGAAAATTAATGACTCAACTTCAAAGTCAACCTGTATATGACATATCCACAGACGTCAGCGTCATATGGTAGATGGCGGTGTAAATAATGAGGGAAATAACTGCTAAAAAATACAGTGTTTTGGGAAAAAAATTTCATGAAAAGCGTACTTCATCCACACTTTTTATGACTACCCTCTATAAGTTTCAAGTGAAAAAACAGTGAAATCCAGAGTTCCACCAGACGCAACAGTACCGACTTTTTTCTTGAATAGTGGAGCCACGCAAATTGCTAACTTGACCTTTTCTTCTCAGGTACTACCTGAACGAAGATTTCAACGACATCCATTTCAACTTCAAACTGCTGGATGACATCAAAATCGGCCAAACGTTCAATGCTTGCATGGAAATGAAAAACAGAAGCTCTAACAAGGAGTACAAGGTGACAGTTACCTTGAGAGTAGATACGGTGAGTTACACAGGAAGAATGGGCGACAATGTTAAGAGTGAAACATTCGCTGTTTCCATTAAACCAAATTCGACGCAAGAAGTCAAACTGCCGGTCACTTACGAAGAGTACTCCAAACACCTGCTGGATCAATCAGCGTTCACGATTTCCTGTATGGCTACGATTGAAGACACGAAGTTTGAATACTTCGCTCAGGATGACTTCAGGATCAGGAAGCCGGATATCAAGATTGTATTGAAAAACCCACCGGTGAGAAATCATGAAGTGACAGCCGACATTTATGTGGAGAATCCGCTGCCAGTGTCGTTGAGGAAGGGCGAATTCACCATTGAAGGACCAGGAATTGAAAGGAAGTTGAAAATAAGAATAAAAGATGCAGTGCCACCCGGGGGACATGCCAAAGCACAGTTTACATTCACACCTCAAGCTAGTGGTAAAGAGACAATCGCGGCAAAGTTTGTGTGCAGAGAGATGGACGATGTTGATGGGTATCTAGAGATTAATGTTGACGAACCAAAAGAACAGAATGGGCAATAGGATATTGGAAGACGTAAAACGTCTTCAGATCCCAAAATTATACCTTGACGAAGACAAAAGCAAATTCAGTATGAGAATCATTACCTCGTGAAAATAGATGTTCTTGAGCAATAATACAGTTTCGTAGGGTTTGTGATGCATAGAGGGATATGCTTAGAACAGGAAAGATGCAATTAAGTCTCGCGATGATTCACACAAAAGTCATAAATTCGGTTCAAAAGCAATAAGCAAATTTTGCAATTAAAAATGAGATTTTTGAGGTCAGAAAAGTTTGTCATTAATAAAATAAATAGCATATTGTACATATATTATTTCCACAGTAAACGAATTTGTTAAAATTGTTATAACCTTCATTTGAAATGACAGTTGGGAGATACTTTATCCTTGTAACATGGAATTCCTTACAACATACAACTTTGTATGGGTTTTGCATCGTATATTTGCGCACTATCCAAGCTTTAATTTTGTACTGCCAAAATATGATGGACGAATAATTTATTTTAAGTACAAACGATATAGGCATGTAACAAACTACATGCAGTATACACAACAGTGTCGTTTTTCTGTATCATGGAAACCTGAAACGGTATATTTCACATAAACAGATTTCCAAGCACATTGTAGACTGATGAGTAACGTTAAGTATTAAATGTTTAATGTTGGTTCTGTTTATAACCAATAGTACGTACTTTAATTTTGATGATCCCGTTTTATCAGTACGTTCCAGCAACAATGTGGATTTAAGTTGACAGCGAAAATAATAAATGATATAATTCAATTTACCTGTTACTAATAGTTATCTTATTGTTACACGTGCATTGATTTTTTAACACATGAATACATGTTTTAAGCAGACATCTAGAGTGTTTTATTGAAATATCATTACTACACATTATATAGGGCTAATATTGGACTGCAATACGTCATCAGGTGAACTTTCGAATATGCTTCTTTCTTGATTATTTATAGCTCGCAGTAAAACGAGTTTTTTTATGCGAAAACCATGCGTATGTAGAAAGAAAATCAATCATTTATTTAAAGGGAAAGCAGTGCCGTACCAAAAGTATTCCATGCAAAAGCTGTACGAATGTCACTGGTAGAAATAATAAAATTGTTCGTATACTGATGCATAAATGTGTACCAGATTCCATGAAGATATCTACAATAGTATCACAGTTTTTAAATAAGGATTTTTACCACCTGTATCTCGAAGATTTTTTGAGTTTCCGGAATTGAAACCAACGGGAAATTGTCGACTGATGTGGCACTTCGTTGCTGAGAACAGACAGTAACTCAGCAAGGCATTCTTGTTGCGATAATTGTCTCTGAAAGTTGTAATAAACTATGGCGCGAAAATGTTCTCGGTTGAGTTCCATTTTTCTAATGACTTGGTAACACTTAAAAATTCACTGAAGTGAGAACACCGCACGAATTGTTGTGAAACTTTGAATTTAAGTTCACTAAAGAGTGAGGTTAAGATTCGGTACTGACGTTCGATCCGCGCGGCCTACTATGTTTCTATATGCAAAACTTAAAAGACATCCCTCGTATGCATGGTACTGTAATGTTGGTTGCGGTCCTCCACTGTCACTAGCTCTAGCGTTTACAAAACATACGCTCTGTAATGTTGGTTGCGCTCTGTAATGTTGGTGCGGTCCGCCACTGCCACTAGGTCTAGCATTTACAAAGCATACCCTCTGTAATGTTGGTTGCGTTCTGTGATGTTGGTTGCGCTCTGTAATGTTGGTTGCGATCCGCCACTGTGACTATCTCTAGCGTTTTCAAAACATACGCTCTGTAATATTGGTTGCACTCTGTAATGTTGGTTGCGGTAAGTCATCCAGAGACTGGTTTGATTCAGTGAATTTTTAATATCATCGACGTCTTTTGTTACAATCTGAAATACTGCAAAAAATGGGTCTGTCCATTCTTATAATAGGTTTTTGTGTCGCTAAAAACGAATAATAGAAAACATTCAGCTCTGGCAGCTTGTTTTGTAGGTAAATCGGGTGCTTATATTCTGTACTCGATGTCAAATCGTTTCTAGGATTCGCTACCAATTTTTCATCTCAAATCGGGCCCGATTGCACTTTAGAATTTTTCACTATAATACTTATACAAGGATAAAAAAAGGGGGTGTTGAAGTTTAAAGATAAAAAAACAATTTTTTAAGATCGTCACCTGGAATGAACTAGAATTTAGCATGTGGATATACCTAAGTTTTGTCCACATTTAAAAGTCTTTACTTAACATTAACGTGCTCCAGTGGCGGAGATACAGGGGACTAGTGGCATTATTTTTCCAAATAAAAACAGTTTTCTTTTCGAAACCGGCAATTTTTCGAATTTGACCTTCAATTTGCTACAAATAATTACTATTGTTTTTCCTAGAGTGCATTGTTTTCGTAAAAATAAAAATAAAACAAATTAGATCATTCATGAAGAGCCGGAATACAATTAGTTTCAAAATAAAATAGGAGGCCTTGATACGATCTTGACGTTTTTGGGAACTTGGGAAAATGGTCTTTTTGAACATTTATCGTAATAAAGTCTTATGTAACTTCTTTTTTTATTTTTTCGGAAACAATGCACTCTATGAAAAAAAATAAGAGTAATTCTTTGTGGCGTACTATTTTTATTTGGAAAAATACCACTGATCCCCTGTATCCCCGTCAGTGGTGCACGTTAATTTTGAGTAAAGACTTTTGAATGTAGACAATACTTAGGTAAATCCACATACCAAATTTAAGTTCATCCAGTTAAAGGTTTTGAAGATATTGTAAAATTTGTTTTTTATTTTTAAACTTTTTAATGAAGCCCTTGAGGGAAAAATGAAATGAAAGACGGTCCTATGTAAGGTGTTTCATTTTTGGTCATGACGTGAGAATCACCCTGTATTCAGCGCCCCAAACCCCAAATTACCTTGTTATACAAAGCTTCGATAGCCATCGATAAGAAAAATGGATCTTTAGCACCCAAAAGTTGCAAAAACGCATAGTTTTGCAATTTTTGGCTACATAATTAGATCTACATGTTTTTTTGGCAACCCAAAATACGTACGATAGAGGTTATTTGAACCACGCTTACGGTTCTAAAATCGCAAAAATGAGAACCCAGCGATTCTTATAATACGTTTTTTGGGTCGCTGAAACCGAATTCAGTCTGAAAAGTCCTCGTTTCCTAGTTAATGGCAAGCATTCCAGTTTGTCAAAAAACGACTAATAGAAACTCTCCAAAAAGTGTTGCGAGTCCATTAACTAGATGAAAGCTCGTTTTCTAGGTGAATTGTGTGCGTAGATTACGAATTTGATGGGAACTTAGTGCTAGGATTCACGGGTAGCCGCGGGTTGGAAGTTCCTTACCAATTTCACCCCAAATAAAGGTCCCTTTAGAACTGTTTTTCTATGATGCTCATATCCAGCGCCCCAAATTACTTTATGGTACAAAGTTATGCTCGCATGTACCCATCGATAATAAAAATAATTATTAATAATTCTGCAAATTTAAAAATAAATGCCCAGGACTATTTAGTAAAGTTAAAACAAATAGCAATTGCCCTAGATGAGATTCAACGAGAACAATTAGCGAATGCAGAAATTTGGATAGACCTATTTGCCTTTTTTGAAGAGAATGAAAGTTAGATAGAAATCATTTTATAAAAAGGTTTGATATGGCTATGTCTCCAGCACACTATCTGGCAAATATACTAGATCAACGATTCCAAGGACTTAAATGGAATCTGAAGCCACACGAAGAAGGTCTTGAATATGCCGCTCGTTATTTATTTCAAGACAATTTGAAAGGCCTCACACCACTTGTTTGGTAAAAGTCCTTGAAAGATAACTTACTTAAGTGAAGTTACAGTTGACCTCGTTCAGCAGCTTCATATAGCAGCTGCTTCAGCGTATTTTTTCTTCATTTGGGATAATCTACACCAAACCAGCGGCAGAATCGGCTTGTCACTCTCAATTCCTGTATGTAGAGTGCTGTCATCAGCGAAGCTGTGGATTGGGTTGATCGTGCAGGAAAGGAGGTCGTTGAGATTTCTATTTCTTTTATGAAACAAAACAAAGTTTTACTATATAAATATCTTTAATGTCTATTTGATCTTAAATTACATAATCATTAATAGGAGAACTATGATTTTCATCTTCTCTCATTAGGGGAATATGGTTTCTGGTGACTGCATTCGCACTTGGGCGAGGGAAACCCCTAGAAAACCTCAGCCGTCACTGCTCAGATTAATTGTATCAGGTGAAGAAAAATCGAGTCGTTCCACAATTCTGGATTCATTTGTCGAAAATCTATAATCCACCAGCATGCCACGATTATCCTAAAAAAAAATAACATTGAAGTAACGGCTTATACGAGGGTCAATTTTTAAGTAAGAACCGTTTTGTAATCGAGTCGGAGAATTTTTACTTATGAATGTAAATTGTATCACAAACTAAAATATGAACATTTTTTCATTTTTTTTTAAAATAGTCACCATAAAGATTCAAACACAAGTCAAGTCGTGGCACCAGTTTCTGGTTAATGTAGCATCTGAGACTTATCCTTACTATACAAAGATGATAACAATTACAGAAGGAATTTTAAATAATCAGCCTATATAAATTTAACAATAATTGTCTTTTTAGTTCTTCTGTGATCCAATTTGGTTGAATATGCTCAAAGGAAAGACCTAGTCGATATTCTCCAACCAAACTAATTGATCATGAGTTTTTTATAACGGTGCAATTGGTTCTTACTTTAAAAACGCCCATCGAAATTCACTGACATCTTTCTGATAAGTTGTTAGAAAAATAAAATTTGGTGGAAGCTTTCTTCAATGGTACCGCTGCTTTTTCCAATAGGTTTCAGAAGATATATTTCCTGATAAGTTTGACTTAGGGGGTAAGAAGTCAGTGAAACATGAACAATAAATGAGTTTAAGATTATGTAAAAAATACCTCTTCATTATTTCAATGATCAATTCACTTGATGTTCATTCTGCATGTACCAGCCTGTAATCATCTTCAAGAAGGTTAACAAGTATAACTTTTGGCCTCAGAATGTTAGTTTCCCAAATATGCCTCACATTTTTAGAAGCTTTTGCTTGTAACCTGGCTGTAAATATTTCGTAAAGCTTCATCAATATGTTGACCGTAGACCATAGTACTATAATCCACATATTTATCTACAAAAAAAGTTCACATATGTAGGTACCCGCATTTAAATAATAGCTCTACTTATTTTGAAATATCAAGTAGGTTGACTCTGTATTTATTTAAGTATAATTTGAGTGGAAAGCTTTTGGTGTTCTTAGAAAATACATCTCTATGGAACGTTTCCAATATCCTTAACAGTTCGATCTATACTTCAGTGTTTCGTGAAATTCAAAACCAACCCTCTTGATGCCATATTCCCCCATGCTTACCCTGTAAAAATGTTGATGTTTGCTTGATTGCTGTTTTCATATATTGTAGCATACTATAAATCGGGACTTTAATCATTCGTATCATATTTCTATTGTTCCTGTTCAACTTCTGTCTTTACCCATCAACATCCATCCAGCTATCCAGGCAGAATATTTTTTGAAACAGCTGTATCATTATCATCAATATCCATTATATCACGTTTATCACGCTCGTAAGTGTCTATAACAGTGCTATTCCTGAAATTGGGAATGTCCTACCTCCAAAGCTTGATAAAATATTTGGGCTATGATTTTGAAAGTTTGTCTGAAAGTTTTCAGACAGCAGTTCTGTAAAATACGTAAAAACAATAAATGTGCAATCACATTTTAGCTAAAAATAGACATGTTCCTAAAATATGTACCTAATAGAAATAGTAAATACCAAATGTAAGCTAAAATTAAAATTATAATATATCATTATCATCAATATTTATCATTGTTCATCACCATTCCTGAAATACAGAATT